TTGTTATGAATAATTTGCTTACCACGTTTAGATGTTTATACTTGAAAATGAAGTTTCAATCAAACAATTGAATTATTTCAGTCAATCCCCTTCTTCCATTTCTTTGTTCTTTTTATGTTTTAGTGCTGTTCCAATTGTTCTAGTAACACTACTGATGTTGTTGATAACTTTGGTATTAAACAAAATGTTAGCATTATCAAACATTCCAGATTTTAACGATACAACAATAAATTGTGATGCTTTAAAATGTTCTCTCAACATACCTCCAAAATTTTGTGTATTAGATACATCCAAAGCAGCATCAACTTCATCAAGAATATAAAGTGGTGATGGTTTGTACAATAAAATAGCAAGAATAAGTGACAGTGCTAATAATGACTTTTGTCCACCAGACAATTCTATTAATGACTCTTTCCACATATCTCCTAATCTGACTCGTGCTTCTATTCCATTGAAAATAGAACGTCCATCATAAGGAACTAATTTTGCAGATGCTCCTGGATGTAATGAGCTAAAAATCGATCCAAATTTAACATTGACAAATTCATATGCCTCTTGTATAGCATCTTTCATTTTTTCATCCAAGTCATTGATTACTTTAACAATTTTGTCTTTGTCTGTTTCAATAATATGTTTTCTAGTCATTAAGTCTTTATATTCATCTTCAACTTTTTGTTGGTGTAGCACAACTTGTTTATTTACACTTCTTTCAATTTCTATTTGTTCTTTACCTATTTCTGCTAACTCTTTTCTTGCTGAATTGATATTAAAGGTACTAAAATCAAAAATACCTCCTTTTTTATTAAACTGTTTTTTCTCCGTTTTAATCCAAGTTTTTCACTTATTAAAACAAATGTCTCATAATCTATCTAAAATAACAAGCTCCAGTTATTTATTTTTTGATGTTAGAAGTCATTTTTGTTATTTTAAAAAACCTTCTATCCACAAAACATAAATCCGCATATCCAACCTTTGTTTGTCGAACTATTACGATACTTTTTTCTTTTTCTCTTCTTCTTACTCACACGACTTAATTTTTATCTAACAAGAGCAAAAACAGACAGATTATAAATTAAAAAGAAATCAATAAGATTAACAAATATGAAGTCCTTGACGAACTTGCATAAGAAATAACATAAAGTTATGATGTAAATAAAATTGGTCTAATAACCTGTCAAGTTCTTTAATTTCGGGTTGACATGTTATTACACGAATAACTCCTCCTCCTATTTTCATTTCAATAACTCCACTTTTGTATTTTCTCATTTTTTCAAATATAATTCTAACTATTTCTTTTTCTCCCTCTTTCCTTGCTTCTACTTCAATTCCAAATTGTCCTAATAAACTATTGTTCTCTTGTAATTCTCTTTCTCCTTCTTCTATTCTTTCTCGTTTTCTTTCTCTTGCTTCTCCTATTTCTTTAGTTATTCGTTTCTTGTTAGCATTTTCTCACAAACTATATTCTCTAATTTCTTCTTCTATTCGTTTTTTCTCTTCTTCAATCTTTTCTTTAATCCCTCTCTCTACTTCTTTTCTCCTTTCTAATTCTTCTTTAATTTCTTCTCTCGTCCTTTCTTCTTCTACTTCCCTTTTTTTGTTTCTCCCTCCTTCCTTCTCTTGTTCTTTCTTTTCGATTCTTTTGATTATCCCTTCAATCTTTTTAATGTCTTCTTCCATCTCTCCTTGATATTCCTTTTCCCTTTTCTCCATCATTTCTAAATATTCATAATCATCTTTTTCCATTATTTCGTGTTTCTCACTTTCTTCCATCTTTTGTTTTTTTCTTTATTTTTTTCTTTATTTTCTTTATTATTTTTTTATTATTTTTCTTTTTTATTTCTTCATTTAAAACTGATTTGCTCACTTCTCTTCATAACCAAAACTTAAAGATGAGTTTGTCTTAATTGATTCTTTTCAATATGACCAAAACTTAACGTTGAAGTTAATCTTAATTGTTTGTTTTTATTTCTTAATCTTCATATCCCATTTGATATTCTTTGTAAATCTCTTCTATTGTTTTCCCTTCCATTTGTCCCTTCCTTCCCATAAGCTCTTGTCCTATATCCTTGATCTCATTGTATTTATGCACTTTCTCCATTGACTCCTCACTTGCTTTCTCATATCTTTCAATTTCTTTTTTCATCTCTTCTATCCCTTTCATTATCTCTATTATTTCTTTCCTTATTTCTTCTTCATTTCCTGTATAGTAGTAATACATCCCTTCTTTCTTCCCTTTCCTATTCTTCATTTTTATTCTTCTTCTCTCTATCTCTAACAAACTTTATTATCTTCTCTTCTACCATTTCTTCTAAACTGATTTTAACTATCTCCGCTTCTATCCCCGTCTTTTCTCTTATTTCTTTCTCTCCTTGTGGTTTGGCTTGTATCTCTTCTAATATTTCTACTACTTTCTCTTTCATTTCTCTCTTTTTAAGTTTTTCTCTTTATCATTTAAAACCTCAATAAAAACTAACTTAAAAGAATATAAAATAAGAAAATTCACTTCTTCGTACGTTCAGTAAGGTCTTTGATGAATTGTTGGTGATTGTCTGTTATCTTCATAATAAGTTCTTCATCCTGTGTTTTGATTGTGATATTTTCAGGTGTTGACCTTTTTGTAATTACTTTCTTTATATCATCGTACAATATCTCTTGTACCATAAATACTTCGTTTTCTGACTTTTCAAGAATGAGTAGTTCAATAGAAGTCAATACTACAAGAATATTTTTTGTTTCTTGATCTCCTTTTATTTCTAATAATGCTTGATATGTAGGATTTTCTTTCATAACATCATTAAAATAGTCAGTGTTATTTGTGTCTTTTTCATCATCATCATCTTCTTCAACAATTTCGAAAAGCTCCATTTTTTTGTCTTCTTTTTTTATTGGTGATGTTTCTTCTTTTTGATCAATTTTCTTTGGGAAATCTTTTGTTTGTTTTTGTTCATTAGGTTCTTCTTTTTTTTCTTCTTTAATTTTCTCTTCTTTTTGCTCTTTTTCTCTTTTGCTTTGTTCTTCTCTTTTGTTTTGTTCTTCTTTTTGTTTCTTTCTTTCCTCTTCACGTACTCTTTTTGCATCTTCCATTGCTTTTATTGAATTTTGTTCGTACTTCTTTGCTGCATCACTAACTGTTTGACTAATATATCCCCACCATGAAGAACTTTTTTCTTGTACAGTTTCCTTTGCTTTTTTTGCATTTTCTTCGACAACAGAAGCAATTTTTTCCATTTTTTTAATTTGAGGATTACAAACATAACAAAGAGCAATGTTATGTCTTTCTAATTTAGCCCCCTGGACTTTATTCATTGCGCACTCATGATAACCCTCAAACCCACTTTCCATGATGCAAACCTTTTCTACTCCTATTTTCAGGAAGGCTAATGCAGCAGAAACAATCATATCTTTTGTTGGAAGATGACCTTTATGTTGAGACCCAAATAGGACTATGATATGGTTTGGTTTAAAGTCTTTTGTGATATCTGTTATTGTCTCTGATGTTACTGGAAGAGTAATGTGCTGCGATCCTAATATACTACATCTTTCAAAATCTTCATCATCTCTGCAATCAACAAAATGAATGAGTTGATGTCTAGTAGTCATATCTTTAATAATATCAGTTGCAGTAACTTCAAAGACATTTGAGTTTTTTAATATTTTAGAATAAATACGTTGGAAATTATAAGAAAAAGAAACGCTACCACTAATATATCTGAACACTGTGAGAGGAGTATGACTTCTAACAAATGATGCTGTTGAACAAAGAAGATCAACTTCTGAGAGAGAAAGAGGTTTTTGAAGTTCTTGAAGAATATCTTCAGTTGAATCACCTAATGTATGTTCTTTTAACAAAAATAAAGCAGTTAGTATAAAAACAAAGAAACAAGGATCTTCTGATAACAACAAGTAATCCCACAATTTCCAAAGAGCATTTAAATCATTAAACAAGGAAATAAACAAGTTATATATAAATGGAGATGTTATGTTAGATATATTAATTCTTTTTGATTCTAGTTTTATTGCCAATGAAGGACAATGAAATAGTAACAATTGAAGGAAAATAGTATTTAAAGCAGTTTGTATTGATGGGTAATGTGTTAAGAAATACCTATGAAACCTTTCAAAAAATGCTATTGATAAGTTTGCTAATTGAATTTGTTCTTGAGAATTTTCTGTGGTTAACTCAAAAGAGTTAAGAGAATAAAGTGTTGAGATAACTCTATACAAATTTTCTAAATTTTTGGAAGTAGGAGCGATAGTATATCGTGTGATAATTGTATCAACAATAGGCCAAATTATTTCTCCTTTTACTTGGACAAGAGTTTTAATTTCTTCTACATGATGTTCAGAACTTTTTATTTCTTTGACTAGTCGTTTCGGTTGAAGAAATAATTTATAAATAGAACTTCTTAGAGAGGATGGAATTTGACTTCTACAAAGCGTTCTAATATCGTTAAGAGAATTTAACTGAACACATTTGCTTATTAATTTGATGTTAGCTTCTTCCATTATTCTACTTTTTATTTTTTAGTTTTATTATTTTAAAGTTCTTTTATTAGTTTTATTTTTAGAAAGACAGAGAAGTATGACTTACTATGGTTTGAACCTATTGATATTCTAACTTTTTAAAACAACAAAGTCTAATTTCAAATAACTAGTGACTCTCTTATTTTTTTGAAGATTGAAAACTTTGTTGATGATTATTAATTAACCTACAACGACAATACTATATACAGAAGAATAATAAATAAAAATTTACTAAAGATATTCTCAGCTTATTAAATATTAATTCTTTAAAAATAAATTCTTAGAAGTTTGAATTTGTTTTGGTAAATTAAATTTAAAACTAAGAATCTATGTAAAAGTATTATTTTTGTAATCTCATGTTTAATTTCATTTTTATTAACTTGACGTAAGAAATAAAAAGAAAGTATTTTTGTAAAAGACGTTTAGTTTAATTTTGATACACCCACCAATAAGTATTTGTTAAGAGACAAATTCATAAAACAACTGGGTTATGCCAACTTCCAATTAAACTATTTGACTTTAAAAAAATAGATGATATTAACTAAATGTTATGCATTAGCTCTTTTAGAAAAAATTAATAATAACCTCTAATTAGAAAGATTAATCAAATATTAGAAATTATCACTCAAACGCTCAATAATAATTTCAATTTATGAAAAAAACATATAAGTAACCTAAGCAATTAGCTAAATATTAATACAATTAGCTTCGATTGTTTCTGGCTTAGGGGAGACTAATCCCAATGAGTCTTCTTATAGCAGCTCTACAGAGTATGTTTGTATGTAATTGAATCAGTATTCCAATGACATCCTTCATGTTTTTAGTTATGTGGCTTTTAACTTATTTAACGTTGTTAGTCTCATTTTTTATTCCTTTATTTAATTTAATACTTTCTTTATTTACTTTTCAATTTATTGAAATTACTACTGGAATTATTTTGACATCTCTTAATTTCTCTATTTTATTCTTTGTTTCATTATGTCTATGTCTTTTCTTCATTTATTCTAAAGTAATATCGTTATTTGGGTATATTTCATTTTTTGGGTATTTCTTCCTTATTCTAATTTTCTTGTTAGAATCAATCATGATTTTATTTGTATTGATTCTGATTATTTCTTCCTTATTAAATTTAATTCTTTCTTTTATCATTGTCATCATATATTTTAGGTACTTTATTCTTTCTAGTGCTTTAACTTTTATTCATTCTTCATCATATTCTTTTAATTTCATGTTGCATTATATTCTGTACCATTTCCTTCCCTTGACTAAATCTTCTAATCTATTGATTTTCTTTAGGATTTCTTTTATTTCATCATTTTTATCTCTTATTATTTGATTTTGGAGATAGAGGTGCATATAAATTGAAATCTTCTTCATATCATCTTGCAGTTCATGCATTCTGCTTCCTGACATTATCCATTTATTATTAATTTCCATTATTAATCGGTCAGCTTCTTTTCTTTTCCAGTAGTAATTAATGTTTGAACATTTTTCTATTTTCATTTCTTTAATTTTATTGATGAGAGTGTTAAGGTATTCTTCATCAATTTCAGTAGAGTTATTCTTTAATATGATGTTTTATTATTGAATCACACTTTACTCTTCTATTATATCATTTACTTTCATTTTAATGTATTGTTTAGTGCTTTCTTTTATTTTATGTGATATTTTAATATATTTAATATATTCATTTTCATTATTTACATTGATGTTTATTGCTTTTATTATACTTTCTATTTGCTCCCATCTTAATTTCTTATATAATTTCTTATTTAACAAATTAATTTCAAAACAATACAACACTTCAATTAATATTCTATTTCTTCCTTCTGTTGTATTTCTTGTCTGACTATCATCTCTTGTTTTTTTATAATCATTGCTTTGCTTTTCTCTACGATTTCAACTACTGTCTTTTTCATAGGAGTAGTTTCGTTCATCTCCATCGTTCCTGATGATGTTTTCCTCAATACTGGTTGTGTGTTTATCACAAGTGTCATCGTTTTCTTCTTCTCCAGTTCCTTCTGTGAAATAAAATTTTGAATATCATCTTGTTGTTTTGATATTATTTGTTTTTGTGTTTCATTCTCTTTTTGTGTGTTATCTAATTCTTCTCTTGTTATTCCCACATTTTTTGAGTTTTAATTCCATTTTCTTGTTATTCAGTGTTTTGTTTTTATCTCGTATTAATTCCATTTCCTCATTATTCTTCTCCATTTTCCATTATTTCATTAGTATTGATATTGGTATTTCTTCTTTATCATTTACTTCTATGATTTTCCTTCATTTCTTTTGTTTTACCTTGTACTTCTATGTTTTCTTCTTCGATTTTTTGTTTTTCTTCAGTTCATTGTAATTCGTTTAAATCATTTTATTTTGTATTTCCATTTCTGTCATTTCTCTTTTTCTTTCTTAACTATTTCTTTTGCTTTTTCTATCATTTCTTCTCAAATGGTTTGTTCTTCTTCATTTCTTCTTGATTATTTTCTTCTTTGTTTTGTATTTCTTCTTGTGTTTCTCTCTTATTTCTATGTTATTTATTCTTCTTACACTTCTTCATCTTTAATTTCTTTGTTTTGATTGTTATTTTTAATGCATTCTTCATTTGTTAAAAAAAATTTTTTTAAACTATTATTTATATATTAAAATTAATAATTAAGAATGCTTACAATCAAATTAAGGGATAAAAAAGGTGATTCTTATACATCAGTATATCCTGAAACACTAATTTCAGAACTCAAACAAAAGTCTTACCCATTACAATGGTCTCGAGGAGATGATATTATTGTTTGTTTTTTTGAATAGTAGTTAGACAGTAATTTATTTTAATGTAGTTTTTATTTATGGGAAATGAATTAAGTGATGATCTAACTATCCAACAATGTAAAATTACTGAAGGGGCATGTATTGTTGTAGATTTTTTTAAAAATACAGATGGACATAATCGACAACGACCAGCACCAAGGACATTTAATTATCAATACCAAAGGGCAGAGCATATGCAAAGAACTTCAGAAGAATGTATGGAGTTGACTATGGAATGTATTACACCAGCTACATTATTTATGTTTTTTGGGTTAATTCTCATTGGATTAATTTTATGTAGGTTATGTTTCCCGTTATTATTTAATAGAGGGTCTAACATAATTATTACATTGTTGTTGATAATTTACATTATTTCATTATTCAAATTCTTTATTATAAGAAGGTAATAAATTAATTGAATAATTATAATATATGTTAAGGTTTATAATGGGATTTGCCCAAACTGAGAAGTAAATGCTGACACTGTTGTTTTAAGCTCATTCCATTTTTTTGTTTTTACATCCACCTCATTCCTTAGCTTATCGAGTTCTTCGAGTTTAGATATAACTTCATGAAGTCGTGAACATCTATCAGTTTGAACTCCTTCAAAAAAATTTTGAACTGTTTCAACAAAGTCTATTTTATTTAATAATAATAATCACTTATCAATAAAAAGAAAATAATATAATCAAACTTTGAATACAGTCTTGAATTTGTTCTTGAAGGCTTTCGAATTCTTGTTGTTCACTTTTCACATACAAATGACTCTCTTCTTCCATGGAGGACATTTACTTATATAAAAAAGTTTTTTAACATAACAACTCAAATATATCATATCCAGTGCGGATGAAAAATTGAAGAAAAAGAAAATTGAATCATATCATTTTAAGATTAATTAAGTTCAATACAATCAAAAGACTTAATAGTTTTGAAATAGAAAATTTACAATAGGAAAAGAAAAAAATAAATAAATTAAAGTAAAAACTATATTAATATAGAAAAAAACTAAATGAAACCTAAAAATTGAAGAAAACAACGAAAATATCGAGGGTTTCTTCAACTGAAAAAAAAGAGCACAGATCGAGGAAGGCTGAATGAAACACAATCAAGCAGTATCAAATATTCACTTCTGTAAAGATTGGAGAAGCAAAGTTCATACCTGGTTCAAACAACCATTCAGAAAAATTAGAAGACACCAAACCAGAGTTGAGAAGGCTAAAGCTGTTTTCCCAGCCACTATTAAATCCCTCAAACCATCAGTTCACTGCATGAATCAAAGATTTAATTATAAATTGAGACTTGGACGTGGATTCACTTTGAAGGAACTTAGAGCCGCTAAAATCGATAAAAACCTTGCTAGAACTATTGGAATTGCTGTTGATCCAAGAAGAAAAGAATCATCAAAAGAATGCTTAAATAGAAATGCTCAAAGATTAACTGAATACATGAATAGACTTGTTGTTCTTCCAAAAGTTCATGCTGCTACAGCTAAAAGATTAGTCCTTAATAAGAAGAATGCTGAAGCTAAAACTAAAAAGGCTGCTGAAATTAAAAAGTTCATTGCTGAACATAACAAGACCATTAAAGAACTTAAGATTAAAGTTGCTGCTGCTAAGAAAGATTATGCTAAAACCAAAGACGCTGCTAAAGCTAAAGAACTTAAGGCTTGCCTTAAGGGACTTAAGAAAGCCCAAGTTGCTTTTGCTGCACAAGTTGCTAAAGAACAAAAGAAGACTAAACAATTCAATAAACTTCCAGTCCAACAAAAAGAAGCTAAACAAGTCCTTGATGCTAACAAGGTTATCAGATTAACTGCTCCATGTACCCTTGAGACTAAGACCCTTACAAAGGGAATGAAGGCATTTGATGCTGTTGCTCATCTTAGAAAAGCTAAGAATGTAGCTAAAGCTGTTTCTGGAATTGTCAAAGGACAAAAGAAAGCTAATAACGCTCCTTCAAAGAAACAATAATTGCAATGAATGCTTTGGTAACAATTAATTTTTTTTTACTATTTAATGTTACTTTATTTTACTAATTAATAAGAAGAAATTTGAAGAAATTTTTATTTTTTGAGTAATAAGTAATATAACTTATTATTAAATAGAATATATATTAAAAAAGTATAATAAAAATATTATTAAATATAATATTTATTAAAATTAGTAAATAAAAAGGGTTTAAAACTTTTAAAACTATATTATTTGCAGCACAACAAGATAATATCGGTTTTCGATAAAGTCTTGTGGTGGAAGATTATGAAATAGAACATAATTTAACAGTGCAGCTAGAAGTTAGGAGTTCCATAGTACGCGAGGTTTTCACCGGACGTCTCCAATTCTCCAATATTTAATATTGAATAATTAAATTTAAAAGAAATAATTATTATTATTTAATTTTACAATTGGTTTTAAATGTTTAAAAATATTTTTTTTTGATAGAAATATTTCTGTAGTAAATGAAAGAAACAAAATTTTATTAAAACTAAAAAGATGTTAGTTTAAAAACTTAGAACTTTTATGTTTCTACTTTAACAATGAATTTAGAATTAGTAACTTCTTTATTACCTAATCAACAACAAACTGGTTTTTCTGTTTGTCCACGGTGTGGCAAAGATAAAAGTAATTTTTTGTTGTTAAAAAAAAGAACAAAATGTGCTTGTTGTCATCGTTTTCTTTGTAGTGAATGTCTTTATTCTGTAGAAAGTACTACTAAGAAAGAAATTCGATTATGTTTTGCGTGTTATTATCCATACCAAACAAATAAAGGAAAAATATCACAATTAAAACCACATATTCCTTGTTTACCAAAGATAGTTCAACCATTTTTAAGTGATGAACCAATGACAAGACAAGTTGCCTTTAAAGAGTTTTCAAAATTATGGAACAACAATGGTGTTGATTATGAATTTATTGTTAAGAGTGGGTTAATACCATATATGATTAAACCATTACAAGATTTAAATTCATCATTACTTCTATCAGAAATTATAAAGGAGGGATTAAAAAGAAATATTGAACTAAAAACGTTTTTTGATAAAGATGGATTTAGTTATTTATTTAAAGCAATTAATTATCTTGATTCAATAGAATTTTTAAGTAATGCAACATTTATTATAAGTGAAATTATGATGAGTTGTTTAAAAAATTATTTATTTAAACCACATGAAACAATTAAAGAAATGAAAGACGCTTTAAAGATGGTTAAAAATGAATATGAAGAAAATTATTGTGTATTTTGGTGTGAACGTGAAAATACACTTGGAAAATATGTTAGTATGTTACAACATGATTTTATTAATGAGACAAATCTACTTGGAATTTGTAAATTATATCAAAAAGGTAATGAAGATGAAAAAGAAGTTCTTTTACTTTCATTTTCAATATTTAAACAAACATTTAAAACAAGATCATTTGATGTTACTAAAGATTGTCTTCAAGAAGTGATGAAATGTTTTGATTGTATTAGTTGTATGATTGTATTACCATTATTATTAGAAATGATAACAACTCAATCATTAATGGAGATTGCTATTAATTTAAGTCTTATTGAAAAGATTACTAATGTACTCAAATTTGTTCAAACAGAAGAATTTGCAGATATTGTTGATGTAGTATTAGCACGAATAAGTGACAACGATAAATTTTATAATCACTTATTGAGTAATTTAGATTTATTTTCTGAACTTCTTAAATGTGAAAAAGGTAATGAAACTGTTTCAGTTAAATTAATTGAATCAATACTGACTTATAAAGGGGTAGATGGTAAAACAACAACTGAATTAATATTAACAGAGCATATTGATTTAGTAGAGCTAATGCTTAATTCTGGGAGTAGGGAAAAAAGAGATCAAGGTGTTATTGTTTTAGATTATTTAATTCAAATACATGGAACTGAAGCATTTGAAATTTTAGAAGCACGTGGTATTTTGAATACAATATTAGAATTATGTAGATTAAATAATTGTCAAGAGTTATTATTATATATAGCATTGACTCATATTTATTTTCATTCAGAAATTAAAGAATTATTTGTTCAATTTTTAATAGACAATGACTTTATTTGTTTTTTATGTATTGCTATTGAAAATAAACAAAATATTCATCAGTCTCTTCCTTTTTTCGTTCAATTAGCAAGTAATAAAAGAATTCAACAAGATATTTTTGAAAGGCATTGTGGTAATTTCAACAGATTAATGGTATTATTTAATGAAGATAATTTATCTGATTTCCTTACATTCCAATTATTAACAGCACTAACAAATAATTCACGTTACGCTATTATTCTTATTAGAAATATTCTAAATCAAGAAGGATTGTTATCTCAAATAATGCAATTTCATCATGCAAAAGTACCATTAGAATATGTATTTCCATTTATTAAAAATCTCTTCCAAACTCATTGCAAAGATCAAGTATTTCTCAGTTGTGCATTGTCATCTTTTATTTCATTTATTAAATATTTCCCAACTATTAATGAATCAGCTCTAGTACCATTTATTGAATTATGTGGAGCAATATGTAATCACTCTAGATATCTTAGAGATCGTTTTGTTTCAACTGCTTATGGAAGTGAAACTTTGTTTCAGACAATAATGAAAATGTTAGCTTCGAATAATTTTAATATCAAAGTAGCAGTAATGAAACTTGCTATTTCATTTATTGAAAATGGTCATGATTATTCTGTATTAATTAAATCAAATCCAAGTTTATTTATTGAATTATTTAAAGGAATTGAAAATCTTCCTGACCAACAATTTACAGCCATTTCATTTGATTTTGTTAGGACTTGTCTTCTTCATAAACGAGAAATAGAATCCTTTAAGAGATCTCGTATTTTTGTAATACTACTAATGGTTTTTAATCCTAATTCTTTACCAACTATATCCAATGAATTACTTAAAAGTTCACTTGAACTTCTTATAACAATTTTTGAAATTGGTATTAGTTCTATTGATTACAGTGGAATTGTTCCTCGATTATTTTATTATCTTGGAAATGTTCGATTTAATGGGATAACAAATACAACAATATTATATTTAATTAGAACATTAATTTTTTTAAATAGTCCATTAATAAAAGCAGTAGATAAGACTAATGTTATTTCAGTTTTATGTAATTTAATTGATGACAAAGATTGTAGTGATTATGCCACTGAATTAATGAAGGTTTTGATGAAAGAAAAAGAATTATTTATTGAGTCGTTAAATGTTGAAATCTTTCAACAATTATTACAAAAGTCTTTTATCAATGAATTAGTCTATTCATTGGTTATAGATCAGATAAACACTAATGAAACAATTAAACCTACATTATTAAAACTGTTATCAAATACTATCATTGAAGACATACTTTTCTTAACAGAAACAAAGAATATACCAAAAGTATTACAACTTGTAAATTGGATTCCATTGTTATCTACAATAAACTTAACACAATTCATTAAGAGTTGTATTCATTATTTGCCAAATCTTAATACAAAAGACATTAATAACTTTATTAGTTTCCTTCAAAAATTAAAGCCACAAGAATTAGAATCACTCACATTAAATGTTTCATTCAATACATTTTTATTACAAATATTACAATACTCAGATGATTGTATATTACAATACTTTGAATTAATTAAACAATCAGCTCAATGTATTGACTTTATTTATTCATTAATTCCTTCTTTTGAAGGTATTATTCAATTTATTCTTCAAAAATGTTCATATTTTGAAGTAATTATTCCATTTCTCTTATTTGCTGATTGTAGATTAATTGTTACATCAAATACTTTTCTTCTTAATATTCTTTTTGAACATATTAAAGATAATACAAGTTGTTGTGTTATTTTAAATCATTTGTTAATTGATCAAACGTTCATTCCGATGATGATATTATCTGTTGATATTCGTTCATTAATTAATTCAAAAGACAAAACAGTACAAGAGGAAATATTGAATATATTGTTTGAAGGAAGTAAACATGATGGTATGTATTTGACAATTGATTTTATTGAAGATATGAGAATTTTCATTAATTCAGATATATCACTATATCGTATTTATCTTCACATTCTTCAGCATCATCTTCAGCATCAAAATATTACATTAATTTTAACAAAAGAAGTTATTATAAATATTCTAGAAAGGGGATTAAAAGAAAGGGATGATGAAATAATGAATTCTATTGTTAGTCTTTGTCAAAACCAACAAATATCTGATTATTTAGGAATAAACGAAGCAAGAGAAATTATCTCCTTAATATCGAAAAAAAGAACAGAAAATTTGTCTGAGAATTATTTATCTTCACTTTTAACACTCTTTTCAATTATATCAAACAAATTGTCAAATCAAGAGATTATTGATTTAATTCATAAATATAATAAAAATACAGTTATTTTATTAAAATCAAAATCAGCATTTATTTTACAACCACTACTATCAATTATTCTTATGACTCCAGAAGGTTTGTTGATTATTTTTAAAATTGCATCATTATTTAAAAGATAATTCAAAAAATATCTAATAGTATTAGAGTTTATTTCACAAACAAAGAAACAGTACATTGAAAATATTGTAGAAGTATGTAAAGAAAATCCAACAAATAACATACTACGCATAAATGTAGTTAAATACCTTTCTTTACTTATAAATTCTGATGATAAAGTAGATGTTATAAAAGAAGTGAAACAGACAATTGGGTTTAACCATTTAATAACTATAGAAACGAAAGAACAGATAGAAAGAATTGTACAAAAGATAGACCAAAACTAATTAAAACAAATCCTAATATATGACATTTTCTAATTTTTACTATTTTTCAACTTTATTGTTATTTCCAAAAAAATACGTCAGTTCCTTTTTTAAAATAAAATCATCTTATACCAAAAATAAACAAGCTAATTTAGAACATATCATACTCTTCTAATTGATAGATTAATCACCATATACTTCATTTTCGTAACAATATAATTCTTAAAAAACTACAATTTCTTTTTTTGCATGATTTCTTTGATATATAAAAACACAGTATAAGTAATTATTTAATTATCATTCCATACCTTCAATAGCTATGGGAAACAATCACGGTAAAACCCCATCAAATAAAGACACAAAAAATGAGATTAGTTCCAAAACTATTAACAATAGAGAGTGTAGCTCAATGCTGCCAAAATGTAAAAAGTCTTGTAAATTATCAAAAGACCAGAAATATCTAGAAAGAGATAAAGCCCAAAAATATCTTGAAGATTATAACATATTAATGAAAAGGATAAATAATTTTAATAATGATTTTGAAAATAAAACTTTTGAAGAAATAGAAAAAGAAGTACAAATTATTGACTCGAATGCTATTCGATTAGCAAATACTTTTATTCATGCACATGCAGTAAAAGATGTTTTTAATAATATTGATTATGAAAAAACTCAAGAAAATGTTCGAGACATACATATTGCTTGTACATCTACAGAATGTAATTGTATCATTCATGATAATCATGAAAGAATTGAAAGTCTTAGATTGAAGAAGATGAAAGAAAGACAAATAGAATTAAAAAATAATTATATGAAACATATAGATTGTTTTGGAGAATTGTATTCCAACAAAGCTTCTCAAACATTATTGGATCAATGTTTTTATAAAGTTGTTGAAGCTATTAAATCCTATTTAAATTTTGTTTATCCAAATGGTGGTTATGAAAAAGAACAAGAACATATATTGATGGAATTTCATCAACAATATCCTAATTACACAATATATTCTATAAGTTAATCTCTACTAAGAAATGAGATAATTGTCATCAAGTCTTATTTGTTTTTAATAATTTTTAGTTTATTTTATAAAACAATAAAAATAATGATTAATGTTATTTAGAGTTACACAGAACCTGGACTAGTTCTTAATAAGAGTCATCAAGTAAATAGACATCTGTTTTTATAGGTGGTACTTCTTGGGTATTTTTCTTGTCCCAAAAAAGATATTGTTTTAGTGCTACATTATATTCTTTAAGAGCGGCGTCAACATAATTTTTCTTACGTGGTGGAATAATACCATTTTCATTTTGAGTGTTGTCATGTAAGTCTTTGATTTTCATTTCTAAATTTAAGATGAAAGTACTAAACAAAAGGGTGAATAGTTGTTAATCTAAAGATTAAGAAAATAAAAAACAAACCGATCAAATTCTTTTAGATCAATATTAAGGTCATGTAATATTTTAGAATTGATTTTAGACTCTTCTTTTGAGAATTTGTCCCAGTTCAGATGAGATCTTCTATTTACAGTACCTCTATAGAGTAATAAATGAACAAATCCTTTTCTAACATCTGAAGACCAATGAAGGAAAAGGAGATTAAACCAATTATTGAGTAATATTTTTAAAATGATCGTACGTGCAGACATACAACATATATTCATTAAATAAAATAATAAGTTTAATACAGATAATATTACTGAACAATTATCAGAATTAATTAATCCCTCTAATAATATCATTAATTCTTCAGCAGAAATAGTACAATCAGCAGGATGTTCTGAGTCAATACCAAGAAATTTATCATCAGTTTGTGGTTTCATTATATCATCTGAAGAATCATCTGAATCAAGTGGGTGTAGAAGGGCATATGCAACACTACTTGGTATTTCATTATGCTGGGCAAATCCTTCATGTAATTTTGCTATTAATGACAAAATATCAAGAACTTGACCAAAGTCAAATATATTAACATTTTTTAATAAAAGACCAGAAATTGCAGATAAGTAATAAGGAGAAAGGAATGCTAAATGTTTTAATGTTTTCTTATGAGCAGCTAAATTGTGTCTTCTTTTTGGAGGAAAGAATTCTGATAAATACACATTAGTTATTTCTACAAACCCAGGAACTGCAGCCCATGTAATTGGATAAGTGAGAAATGAGAAGTATAAAGAATCAACAAGATGTGAATAGAATGAAAGAAAAATATCATTTCCTGGGTGATAAAGTTCGAGCCAAGTATCTCCACATTGGTCAAATAAACTTTCTTGTTCATCAATAGATAATTCTTTAATATAATTATGAAATGATCTCCAAGAGAATAATCGAGGAAAGTGCTTTTCTGCAGTTTCAAGTTCTTCATTACTTACAGATAAGAATACGTTATTTGAATCAGGAAAATAACTAATATGGTCAAGAAATAATTCTTGAAAATTAGGTAATTGGAAAAATAACATTACTAATGCACAAGGTGCAAAACGTAAGAAATGAGCAGAAAGACCACTTTGAATGAAATAAGAATCTTCAGGAAGTGATGTAGGTTCATTAGGAACAACTTTGTCTTTATCTTTTCTGATTTTCTTTTTCTTGTCTTTTTCTTTTTCTTTTATTAACTTTTTTACTTCTTTTTTTTTGTCAACGAGTCCAAATAAAATTTTTGTCATAATTGGAACTGATTCAATTCCCTCTTGTGCATGAAAAGGAAATGGTTTTGGTTTGTCTTGAGTATTAAACGCAGATGCACTATCCATAGCATCTTCTTCTGGAAGTTCTGTAGTAAGTTGCATAGGATCATCTGTCATTTCAACTCTAAATGACGCCATTAATAAGTCTTCGTAACTTTCATAAATATCGGAAATATGAAAATAAGTTGCATATAACATTTTACGGTAATTTTCAGCCAAACAATTAATTTCTGAACTTGCAGCAATATCAACTATAACAGTGTGATGTGGTTGAAATTCCGTTCTATTCATTATATTTAATATAATTTTATACATTGATTCCGCTATTTCATGTGCACTTAATACTTTAATAACTTCTAACGATGTATCCCAAATTTTAATTAATGCAGTTCCTAACACAACTTGATTCTCACCAAACTCAGGCTTTATTGGTTTTTTTAAAACTAATGAAACTAATCTTAGGGAGTTATCAAATTTGATTAATAACTTTCTTTTTGTAAAGTTATCACGTTTCTTCCAATTCTTTAATTTTTCTCCTATTGAACTAATTTTACAACTAATTTTATTACAATAATGACCAAGCTGTTTATAAGTATCTACATTAGGAACATGAAACTTTCTCGGACAATCATAAAACGAAACGAAATTCTCCATCACTTTTTCTACAAAAAATGAAAAATTTAAGTTTTTTTTTTCATTTTCTTTTTAAAACTTCTTTTCATCATTTTCTTTTTATTAATTGTTGCTTTTATCTTACTGTCGATTAAAACATAAAGTACCTCTTACTAATAATAGGAAACTATAAATTTTATAGGTTTATTATAAATTATTGTTTTATCTTATGACACAAAAATCTAACATCAATCAAATTAACAGTTTTCTAAAATAACACAAAATTCTAAATTTCTACTATTCTTGTAAAATTGACAATACACTATTTCATTTGTCAGTTTATTATTTCAATTCAACAAGATAGTTTATAATTTTACTATAATTTTAATATGACTCATTTTTTAGAACTTAAAACTTGTTTCCATTTTTGGAAACTTAAAAAATATTTTTTCTTTAAAATGTTTTTGTTAAACATGTAAAACATAAATTTAGTTTTGTCATTCAATTGTTCTATTAAATTTAAAAAAAAAATAATATTAAATAAAAAGAAAAAAGAAAGTGTTTGTTTTGTAAAATATGTGATTCAAACTTTTATTATTTAAATCATGATGTCAAATCAACCATGTGTCATTCAACCCTCTCCTATACCTTCAAAGAAAAGAGTAAGCTTTGCAAAAAAACTTGAAGGAATTGCAGAGACTTGTATCAGAGAATTATCTCCACATTCTCCTAGAAGTACAAGACCTGGGTTTTTGTCTTCAAGAACTTCTTTTACTCCAAAGAAGCCAAGAACAGGTTTTGTTTGTAGTACAAGTGTATTTGGACAAACAATGGAAAACATGATAATAGAGTCATACCAACCTGAACAATTAATAAAAGAATTTAAAAACCATTCGTACCAACTTATTTCTAACTTAGATTATATTTTTGTAAAACAAAGAAGAGTTGCTTTATTCCATTTAGAGCCGGAAAAAAGAAGAATTCTTCAAAAATTATGTAGTGATATTCTCAAAAACAAAATTACTAAAGAACAATTATTAACCCTCACTTTTTCAGATGAAAATATTCATGACGAGAATTGTAAAGCTTTTCTTGATGATATAATTCAAAACCAATCTACTCTTTTTCAATTAGAAGGAGATCCTTTATTTGACTCAGATGGGAGTATTGTCGAATGTTCTTCTGAAGAATTATGGTCATTAGCCTTAGATCCTTTTTTACCTGACTACCTAACTTCAATCTTTGTTTATGTAGCACCTTTATTTACAACCCTTGAATTCATTGTTGATCATTTACAAATAGAACAGATGTACTGTGATAATAATCCAAGACTTGATGAAGAACGATTTAAGAAATTACAAAAAATAAGAGATATTGCATTGTCAGCCCCACGGTGTTATACAAAAATACCAGCTAAAATTCAAAAACAAATGACAGAAATATTTACAACAAATAACACACCAAGGGTTCTTGTTAATGAAATTAGGGGAGCTCTTAGACTACCTTCACTCCCAGAAAAAATGAGTGCCCTTGAAGAATTTGCAACTGTAAGATCAAATAGTCTTTATTCTTCAAGAAGGTCTTACAAATTAAGAAGGGGAATGGCTACAAGTCTTAGACTAAGTGAGACTGGACCTCACCCTAAACAAGACGAGGAAGAAGAGAAAGGTACTCCATCTATTCAAATAACTCAACAATATGAAGATATGTTCTTTTTATTTAAAGAAAAGTCTAGTGTTATTGCACGACAATTAGCTTTATTTGATCAAAAACTCATTAAAAGAGTTGAAAAATATGATTTAGCAAAAGAACAAGTTGATAAGTGTAAAAGTGTTCAACAATATATTGATAATCTTCAGAGAATTGAAGAATTTTTCCTTGATATTACAAAAGATAAAAAGTCATTAGAGAAAGTTATTAAATTAGGATGTTGTTGTTCTGATATTAACGAAATGAATATGGCTCATTTGATTTTTTCTGTTCTTGTTAGAAGGTCTATTGATCTTAGTGAACAATTTAAGTCTTTAAGAAAAGAAAGAAAAGAAGAATATAATAAACTTTATTCTCTCTTTTCTATCGACAAAAATAATGCTATTTACCGAAATCGTTTAAAAATTATACCTCCAACAGAAGCAAGAATTATTGTTTTTTCTTTGTGGATGAAAGATATGATTAGTCTTCAAGAAATTAATGTTCATTTGGGAGACCATTTAAACATTAATAGACTAAGGTTATCTGCAATGAAAATAAATGAATTTATTATTTGTCAAAATGAGGCTTTTATGTACGAAGAAAATGAAGAGATTCAGAATTATTTTATGTCTCTATAAGGAACAAACTAATCTTCTTTCATTACAATGAATGTATAAACTTCTATTCTGTTAAAAAATAAGTAGAATTTAAAAGGTATTCTAAAGAACTTTGATTTATCTCTTTATCATTGCCAATACATCAACTAACACAATTGTGTTAAAATTCCTTCAACTAGAAAATTTATGGTTTTTGTTTATATATAACTTATGATAAAATAAGATGGTATATCCAAGATTTTTAAAACAAAATTTGAATATTTTTATATTAACAAAAATTCTTTCACACAACTCATTTGGTTCTCTGATTTTATATTCATTTTGACTTTTTGAACAAAAACTCTATTAGAAAAATAGTGAATGATAAAGAGAAAAACTTAAAAAGAGAGAAATGAAAGAGAAAGTAGTAGAAATATTAGAAGAGATACAAGCCAAACCACAAGGAGAGAAAGAAATAAGAGAAAAGACGGGGATAGAAGCGGAGATAGTTAAAATCAGTTTAGAAGAAATGGTAGAAGAGAAGATAATAAAGTTTGTTAGAGATAGAGAGAAGAAGAATAAAAATGAAGAATAGGAAAGGGAAGAAAGAAGGGATGTATTACTACTATACAGGAAATGAAGAAGAAATAAGGAAAGAAATAATAGAGATAATGAAAGGGATAGAAGAGATGAAAAAAGAAATTGAAAGATATGAGAAAGCAAGTGAGGAGTCAATGGAGAAAGTGCATAAATACAATGAGATCAAGGATATAGGACAAGAGCTTATGGGAAGGAAGGGACAAATGGAAGGGAAAACAATAGAAGAGATTTACAAAGAATATCAAATGGGATATGAAGATTAAGAAATAAAAACAAACAATTAAGATTAACTTCAACGTTAAGTTTTGGTCATATTGAAAAGAATCAATTAAGACAAACTCATCTTTAAGTTTTGGTTATGAAGAGAAGTGAGCAAATCAGTTTTAAATGAAGAAATAAAAAAGAAAAATAATAAAAAAATAATAAAGAAAATAAAGAAAAAAATAAAGAAAAAAACAAAAGATGGAAGAAAGTGAGAAACACGAAATAATGGAAAAAGATGATTATGAATATTTAGAAATGATGGAGAAAAGGGAAAAGGAATATCAAGGAGAGATG